GAAACTTCGGCGGAGGAGACGGAGAGAGATCGTTTGTCTTTGTTATTGGGGTCAAAATAGATCCGGTTTACGTCTAATTTGTTTAATTTTAGATAACCGGATTCAATTAACATTTTGGTTTAGTTATTGGGAAATCGAATTACAAGGTTTTTTATTTATACATGGAAACAAGTTAACAATAAGAAGATCAAATTGAGTAATTGAGTAATTAATTGTATAGAAACTTTAGTAACTTCCGTAATGGAACGATGGAGATTTAACAACAGAGGAATTATTAGGGAATTTTTCAAGAACAGATAAAGATTCCTTCATGGTTGGTCTCTTTTGAGGAATTGGAGATGCACATTGATAGCCTAACTTGAAACAACTTAGTAAAAAGTCTTCTTTGCCCTCTAACTCTCCGCGGATCGCCACGTCAGCCATCCTCAGTGCGCGGTGTCCGTCGTCTACCGTCAGTCCGTTTCCTAGTCCGATCTCTTCGACTGACACGATCTTCCCCGTGAGAAGCTCGAGGAGGATCACTCCGAAGCCAAAAACGTCCCATTTCGGACTCGCTTTTAGGCTTCGGAAAGACTCTGGTGCGCAGTAAGGCGATATCGGACCTATCGAGCTCGGACTCGGGCTTGGTGTAGGCCCGATGTACGAGAAGTCTCGTGAGGACATTGTGGAACGCTTGCTACTGAATATCCGAGACGACCCACCAGTTCGACTATAGCTTGTTTCTCCCGTGAGAAGCCTATCGAGTCCGAAATCGCCTATTTTGGGCTCCATGTCGTGGCCCAAGAGTATACTGCTCGGCTTCAAGTTTCCATGCACGTGCTTCTTCTCGTGGAGATAAGCTAACCCACGTGCAATACCTTTTGCTATCTTGAGCCGAGTTTCCCACGGTAAATGATACGGCGAAGAAGACCCTCCTCCTTTTCCTGCCCAAAAACACACCCAAAATCTCAGTACATGCGCAATATAACACTAAGTAATGTCGGCGCACTTTAGCAAGCGCCATCGTGTAGCGGTTTAAAACTCACGGTAACGGGGATTGACGAGGCTGCCGTTAGGGACAAAATCGTAAATGACCAACTTCTCGTCGATTCCCCAATAGAACCCACGAAGTCTAACCAAATTCGGATGAACCAATTTCCCAATTGCTCGAATGTTCGATTCGAAATCCTTAAACCGTCTTTGAGTCAAACCGTTCTCCCCGAGTCGACGAACCGCGAAAACCGTACCGTCTTCGAGAACCGCTTTATACATTATACTCGAACCGGTTGCTCCCAAAATATAAGCCGAAGCTTTAAGCAGAGTCTCAATTTCCATCTCTTTATCTCCATCAACGGTCACTAATGTCCCATTCTTGTTCTCTCTGGACCGTTGATCTTCATTGTAACCGCT